GAGAGTGGGGGGCTTCTGATGGGGAATAACCCCACACCAGCCTAGGGCTGACATCAGCATAAATTTCCTAAGTGTCAGGCTTGGACGTTCCTGCCCGGCCCAGAGCTCCGCTCGTCCCTCCTGCCCGGCTCTGCGCTCCGCTCGTCCGTCCTGCTCGGCTCGGCCATCCAAGCCGAGCCCGAACCCCGCGACAACGACGTGCGGAAAGCGACGTTCAACGAAGACTTGGTGAAAGCGATAGGATGAAAGGGACAAGACGTAAGGACAGGTGACGTCCGCTAGACGACGGGCATCGATTAGAGAGCTTTGACTTAGCTTATTTTACCCCCTATAAAAGGGGTGTCACCCCTCATTGTAATGGATCCGAATTTGAAATCAATATACTCCTACTTTGCATTCTCTCTCTCTAAAAATCATATTATTTCATACTCTCGGTGGTTTATAGCCATCATTCACCAAATTCGAATCCGAGTGGAGACAGAAACATTGGTTCATTGTGATTAATTAGATTGAGAAAATACAGAAAAATTCTGAATTGGTCTACTTAATCTTTTCATTTCAAAATAAACTCCACTTTCTTTTCTCGTTGAACAATATAAAATGAGTGATTTATATTAACTTATTCCTTCTGCGTAATTTTACTTTTTTAACTTTTATTTAAAATAAGTTGAAATTAAAAGTTATTTTAAATTCTACTTGAATCATATCAGATTAAATTAAATAATATATAATCAAATATTAACAAAATCAAACAAGACAAAAGGAGAGGTTTCTATGTTTTAAAATAACAATACAATAAAATATTTTGTTAATGATACAAATTTTTTTTAAAAAAATTTAGAATTAAATGTTGTGATTAGGTAATATTTTTAAATAGTTTAATAGCTATCTCATATCCACCATCTATATTCCAAAATAGATTTTACATGTTCTTTTATTTATTCCAACCAAAAGATTTATGCTATAATTTTTTTTATGCATGTTCTTTATTTATTTCAAAAATGTTCTTTTATTTCTTCCACAATTTTTTTTAGATCTTCTCCTTTCCTCTTTTTGAAATAAATTCAATCACACATATTAAAATTTTCAATCTTAAACTTCAAAAAGTCAAACTAAACAATTTATTTTGAAATAGATATAATATGAGTATTATTTATTACAAATTTGTTGTTCTACAAGTACTCTAAATACATATAAATGGTTAAAAAAATGAAAACAAAGGTGTTGCTATTTTTGTTACTTGTGCAATTATGTAAAAAATTGGGATCAGGATTTGGAAAGTTTTTATAATTTTCCAAGATTTGTGGGGCATATCAGTAAAGGAAATTTCAAAAAGAAAAATTAATCAAAGACGTGCCTTTTTTCCTCTAATCATCCCCAAGCCATACAATTTACCGACACTTGATTGCCAATTCACCATTCCCCCCAATCAAATCCACACCGTCCGTCGACCGATCTTCCCAATCATCTCTAGCAACTGCACCAATCTAACTTATCGCCGGTTCGGAATCGTACGGGGCCTCTGTCAATTCCCACTCGAAGACGATCGAATCTCACTGGCTTTCTCTTGATTCATGAATGGTATATAGGCTATTTTAACCCTACATTTCACAATCCACATATGGAATTGTACAAAGATTTATATGCGTGATTGAATGTGTACTTATGCACTCAATTGCGCACTAGCATTGATTTTTAATGGTTTGGAATAAACTAGTGTATCAGCCATGCGATGCACGGATAGATAAAGTTTATCACAAATCATAAAGTTTATTAAATTTTAAATAGAACTACTAACATAAAGATGTGTATTAAAATTAGACTGTATTCAATACCTACTATTATAATGAAGTAAAGTAAACAATGTATATTAAACATCAATCATACATTCTCAAAAACCTCTTTAAAAACTACATTAATTGTAGTATCACATGAAGTATTATTAGAGTTACATATCATTATTTTTAATCCTCGTGAGATCGTACCCTAGACATGGCCACATACTGCTATCCGTGATTAAAACAAGTTTTTTCAAGAATAAGACAAAATGAGAGAAAGACTGTCCCTGACTTTTGTTTATGGCCATCACATACGATACCATAACTAGAAATTTTCTTCTTTGAAACTTAAATGTCAATCTGATATCTGATGGAGTCAATGAAACTCGTTGTATTAAAACCGTTTGTCCTGCATTTTTCATGAATCATCTTTGCTTGTAAAAGACGGTTACCAAGTCTTGTAACAATTAAACGCGTTCTGTTGCACAGACCATTGGCATGATCAATGTTGCGCAAAAGCATGAACAGAGTGCCAACTTTCAGTTTTACTTTGTGGTTTGGAATTCCGGAAGATCTAATCGAGTTCAAATACTCTGTGGTGTGGTGTGTAAATCACCAACTAAAGAAGCATTCATGTCAGACTTGAAATCATGTATTGATTTATTGATTCAACTACTTCAAGTATTGGAGTTAAAATTGCTCCTTTTTGTAGTAAACTATCTTCATCGAAATTTGTTACAAATGCAAGGTAAAAAGTTTCCACCATTTTTCCTCCTAGATCAACCAGTAAATCTGATGGAATTTCAATATCTCCACAACCATCATTTAGACCACCAACCTTTCCATCTCCACTATCTGCTATCCAATTAGTAAAACGTTCGCTTTCTGCACTTTCACTTTCCTTTCCATTTGAAACTCTCATGCTCTTGGTAAGTTTCAGGACCTTGCAATCACACCACAAGTATGAAGAATTAATTGTGGCTAAAACAATATCTTGCCTAGTACCTTTGGAAATTACCGGTAGTATTTGTCTTAAATTACCACCAAAAACAATTGTTTTGCCTCCAAATGGTTTGACCTGACTATCTTTATTGACCACGCGCATTATATCGCGCATAGTTCTATCCAACGCTTCAAAACAATGTTTATGCATCATAGACACTTCATCCCAAATAATTAATTTGCACTATATCTAGAAGAGATTAACGACAAAGTTTACAATTTTGTAACAGAGGATTAATTTTTTAGTTTAAAAAGCATGCCTTAAAGAATGTAATACGCATAATGTAATATATATGATGAGTATAATGTAACACTTTAACATACAAAAAATGTTGTCAATAAAATAATTTAAATATTTTGAAAAACGTTTTTAAAAACAATATTAGTGGTCTCATTAGCTGCCTTGTCTCCATCATGGCATATCAAAATCTTCATGCCAGAGCAACTTCTATCCCTGCGCATTTACAAAATTAATAAAACTCAAAAAATGGTTCTAATGTGTTTTTTTTGTGACCTAAAAATTTTTTTAAAATAAATCTTTATAAAATTTTAATGTGTTTGGAAGAATTTATATATATATTTTTATTTTTTTTAATTTTTTTTCAAAATTAAAATCCTTAATCATTCAAATAAGAGATACTATAACATGCACCAAGTTATATTATTGTATTTTTTATTATCATATTTTGATAATTTTTTTAAAAAATATTTCTATAAAAAGGTGAATGTTAAAGAGTGAAATATGAAGTCCTTTTTTTAGAATGTTTAAACCAAACTGTTAAATATCTGAAATTAGTTTCTTCACATATTAATTTCACCCGCACATTTAAATGACTTAAATGATAAATAAATCATTAGTAAATATTCATAACACCTGGATTATCTCTAGAGTGAAGGTAAGATTATTTTTTAAAAATCGAATAAAATTGATAATATTTTTTTTGAAAGATTTTTAATAAATGGGAAAAATTTAATCTTGTAAGGCTATTTTTTAAGAAAACCCACTAATACTTGGTCTGGAACAATAATACTCTCTCCGTCCTAAAATTAACTTCTCATTTGGTGTTAGATTTCTGCTAAGGTAACTCCATTAGTGGAGGGTGAATCGTTCTCGGATGCTTCGGAAATTGAGGTGCATTGCATGTACACTAAAATATAACATTTAAAGTTTATTTTGTTTGTTTTTGAAACATTCGGAAACAGAACAAGTTATTTGACCATGGAAATAATCAATATAATGTTACAGAAATTGGTTACAGTCGAATGCAGTCGAATCCATTTTTTGATTAGTTCTTGATTTTAATTCTAGGTTCCAGCGTTGGATTGCACAATTGGTATTGATAAAATACCTGGAATGAAATTAACTCTGAAATCTTCTTTGGGGGAGTTCCAGAATCTGATGGGCGAAGGACTTGGAGATCATCCAGAAGTCCTTGATTTGTTTAAGGAGAACACCCCTTTTTTCTCATTTTTTAGATGTTGAGTGTATTCCTCCTCTGTTCCTATGGCAACTCATTGCGAGGGAAGCCAAAATAAAGAGGAAATGAGAGATGTGGTTCGTTGTCAAAGGAGTTCCTGTCATGTACTCCTTGAGGGAGTTTTCACTCATAAGAGGCCTCTACTGCTCTCACCTTAACGCCGGCTTTGAAAATTCTAAGGAATTATCCTCTGCAAAGAATGATTCCATTCGAGCTCACTTTCCTTCTGCAAAGAAGGGAAAGAAATCTGCTGCAGTCACATACAAGATGGTTGTGCAGCGTTTCTTGGACATTTGTAAAGGCTTGGACAGGGAAAAGAAGAAAGAAGGCCAGGAGATGGATGTTGTGAAAATGGAAACACTATTGTTTGTTGTTGTTGTTCTCTTGGGTCCTGCTGATCGCGACAAGTCTGCAATTCCATATTGGATTTTGGGCATGAGTGCACAGTGGACAGCAGTTCTAGGTTTCCCATGGGGAACCTGGGCATTTATGGAGTCCTTGGGGTCACTGAGGAAAGACCTAGCTGCTAAGAGCAACTCCAAGGGATAGTCTATATTGTAAAATATACACTATATACAATTTAATGTTGTCTTTTCAATACTCCAATGGATAGGGTAAACAAAGTGGTAAAATGCAATGTAGTGTAAAAAGCAATCTCCAAAGTGCATTTTTACAAGTTCACTATAGATAGTGGAAAGAATAAAAAATTAATTTTCTTCATTTTTTTCCTTCCCTCTGGTGCAGTCACATACAAGATGGTTGTGCAGCGTTTCTTGGACATTTGTAAAGGCTTGGACAGGGAAAAGAAGAAAGAAGGCCAGGAGATGGATG